TATATATATATATATATATATATATATATATATATATATATATATATATATATATATATATATATATATATATATATATATATATAGATTTGCATTTTGACTTATACGCCTCCAAAATATAAACCTTGTAAACTCATAGGCCTCCAAAACCGGAGGCGAATTCGAAAAATCGGAGTCCAATACGTATCGCCATGTATAACAGTCGCAAGTTGTTTCAATGGTCCTAAGGTGTATTGTCACCAATTTTACCCTGGAGGCGTTTTGGTAGTCTACACACGCACAGTTACACAACGTAGTTCCGCATAATTCCACCACGTGGCGCTACAATCTTATACACATATACGCTAGGACAGTGTGTTGTACGGACTGGTCTCCATACAAAATTGCAATATTATGCCTCCGGAAAACTGGCAACATAGCTGGGAGGCAAATACGTATGTATATAATACCAATTTTAGATATACCTACTCAATTCGATATTTACCTATTTGCTTATTTGTGTAATACTGCATTTTCAAATTTTATATAAAGAAACTTTTAGTATAATAATTTGAAAAAAAAAAATAATACACTCATATGCAGAGAAGATTATACTATGTAATAATGGAACTTAAATGTTTAAAGACTTAAGGGTCTATCAACATTATTCATAATTATTATACTTAACTTGCTACTCAGAGGCGACATATTTTTGTGTCCAACAATTTACAGATGCATATTAATAGAATGTGGTAGGCAATTATTCAGTATTGAAAACTTAAAAAAACTTGTTTTTTATTTATTTTAGCCTACAGTTATTAAGTATAAACTTTCTATTCTCTGACCAATTTTGAATTATATGGTAAAATAATGTACAGCGTGATTCAAAATTGGTGCCTTGATCCAATATCAGAAATATGGTAAATGAATATGCAACATTGGTTGGCCTAAATATACCTTAACCAGTTTCCTTAGGATCTCAGGGACCTATTATATTTTTATTTTTTTCCTGATATTATTCTAAGTATAAGTTAAGTAAATCTAATTCTAGTCACTCTGTACATATTATTTAATACAAATGATACATTTATCTTTCTTTTAATTAAATTATCTCTAACTAATAATAACATAGCAGTAGTATAATTCTACTACCATTATAAATCTACTCCGGAACATTCTAAAATAGATTACATCATGATATTAAGTTTTGGTTTTTGTAAGAACCAAAGCGAGAAAAAATATATAAAACCGATAATATTATTAAAAACAATAAGCACTATATTTTCTTAAAAGTTTGTTTTTGATAGAACGTAGAGGATTTACATAAATTTTAACAGTGACGTAACTACCGGTGTTCAATGGTAGAGAATTGCATACCTAAAAATTCAGATTGACCGATTTGTGTACTGTAAAATACAAACTATAACCAAAAAGTAGAGATTTGCTACAACTACATACAGTACAGATATATTTATTTTCTCGTTATTCTACTCTTCAACATTACTAATTGGATTATGACACTTTATTATTGTTCGTTTCCTTAATTCTTACCACATAAAATATTTGTGCTGCTCAGAAGCTCAATTTAGTCGCAAAGCGTCTCTGAAATCAGCAACTTTTTGATTTTATGGAACAAATTAATGTAAATTTTGTTCAGAGTACAAGTACAAGAGGGATAATTGCAAAGAGATGTTCAAAAACTTAGATCAAGAACATTATAAGGTTTAAACCCTACGCGTTCGTCATCCAGACACGTTGTTATGTTAGCTTTAAGATCTAGGTACGTCGATGTACAGAAAGCGTTGACAAATATCATATTAACATCCAATGAAAACAAAATACTGAAGTCGATGAAAATATATTTATTACAACAACGTTAAAATACGTACGAGAAGTAATCATTTTTAATATTTTTTGGAAGTACTATTTTAAATCTCTCAGATGTGGTTTCAAACGTCTGAGAAACTATTTGTAACCGTCTTGAACTCCAACCCTAGAAATTCGATCAACTGAAAAATGAAACTTATAATCTTGCAACTGAGTGAAACAATACAGCACGATTTAGTAGTAAAAGAATAGAACGATAAGGTGCCCAGTGGCGTAGAGGTACAGGCTCTCGTCTAACAATCTCAAGGTGTGGGTTTGATTCCCACACCCGGCATTTCATCAGCCGACTATTTTTATTAAAATAAAAATAGTTTGGGTACCTAGGTCGACTCAGCCTTAAATGAGTACTTGGGATTCACAATCCTGAGGTAATAATAGGCGGTTGAAGCGTAGTGCTAGCCACATTACCTTCCTTGTATACCGAACGGCTCTAGTATAGCAAGCTGTACATTGCTACTCCCAAGGCGTTAAACGCTATATATGGGAGCTATTATTATTAGAATAGAACGATCAAAACTATATTTTAATGAAAAAAATAATCTAAATGTCCTCGAATCAAACAAAGAGTTTTTCGAATTAATGAATTTTAAACATTTTTTGTTATAATAAGTCAAATTAACAGATTTTCCGGTTTGTAGAAAATGAAAACTTTAAAATTTTAAAGAAATCTGTACTTTGCAACTATTGCGATGCAGCATTGTGACAGGAAGCAATAATGGTTCAGAACAAATATCTAGAAGACATAATATCAAAAATATTTCCAAAATATGTTTGTTTTTAATGTGTATGTAATTTTTTGCCTTTTGCTTTTTGCTTTTCTTTCAGAAAAATTATATATCAGGTATAATATAAAGAAGTGAAGACTTGAAGTAAGTATTGTCCTAAGTGCCAAAATAATTATTTAATTTAATTAATCTATCATAGCAATAATTGCTTTTCTTTCAGAAAAATTATATACTAGGTATAATAATATAAAGTGAAGACTTGAAGAAAATAGGTTAAAAAATTGAAGAAATTTGGTTAATTGATATAAAATATGCATCAAAAAAAGTTTTTAAAATTATAATGCAATAGTATTGCTATAAAAAGACCAAAAGGGCAATGAAACGTGTAAGAAAAATTGCTGCAACTTTTTATCATCCTCTTTCGTTCTAACAATCTAAACTAATCATAAGCATAATAGCCACAGGTACCACCCTTCAGACATTTTATAAAGGTACTTCCTGAGGACCGATTCTGTATACATATTTCCTGTCTAGTGACTCATCAATCGTATAGGGAAATTGGAACAACTTTCGTTGTACGTAATCAATGACACCATTCGTCGTCTTATGGAGTTTGCTGGTGGTCGTATTATGATGTGCAACGAAAGTTATTTTAATTTCCCTATATACAAATAGCATAGGCTAGACAGAAAATTTCTTGCTACGAAGCTTACAGAATCCCACTGCTGTTTTTTTTTTATAATATCTGTGTTATAGTAAACAATCAAGAAGTAAAGTATTCAAAATATTTTTCTTCACAAATGCATTTACCGACGCATTTACAATGCTTTTTCAATACATTTTTATCAAAGCCACATAATGATTTATTGTCTTGTATTTGACTGTTGGAAGAAACATAAGTAATATAATATCCAGAATATTTGCGAAGAATTGTAATTAGTGTAAGAAAACGCAAACGATGCAGCGCTCCGCTTACGTCAACGCCAACGTGCATGGGACCTTGTCGTAGACCCATTAAGATTATTTGTTTATGTTAGGATTTCGGAGAGAGACTGGCTGAGGAATAGGGAGGGCAGTCTATAGACCGACATTGATTGTACCATACGAATATTTCTGTATTCTGTTACGTTCAATTATTATATTAAAATACTGTTATTTAAAAGGTATTTCAATAATAAATAACCCATAAGTCTTGCATTAGAAAAGACGTTTATTATTATTAGGATCCTTAACTAACTAATCATCTCAGTCACTTTTTATTGAATCCAGATCTGTATCCGGAAAAGAACCATGCGCGACACTACTTGTTTCACTTGTGTAGCTAGAGTCTACAAGGAAATTAAATAATTATATAACTTGATTATTTTTTATGAATCTTATGTAAAAGGAATTAATGTAAAATTTCATACCTATTCATGATCAATTTAACAAAACAAACTCTAATACAAAATATTTAATCATGTAAATAATCAGAGCCCAGAGCATCACATCAAAAATATATAAAAATGTCTTGAAAAGACGGGTGGAGTTGATTTCGAGGAATCGCCTAGTAAAGATTTAAAAATAGCTGAAGGTCGCCAAATCGGTCTTTTTGCATTGCATCTGCGAGCGTTAGAAGCGGCAACACTGTCGGAGGCAAATACGAGCGAAGCCCTTATAATCTTATACAAGTAGGTGGCTAGTTAGACACTTTATATTCGGAGACGTATTGCATTTAAAAGTTTAGCGAAAAACTGTATATATAATTTCTATAAATTTGTTACCCCTCATGGGGAATTTAGAAAGCTTATCAATTATCGTCCCTATATATACCAAATATGAATAAAAAAACGTAATGGATATGGTGGAGGCTTGGGTGCCTGTATTTCATATGGAGGCCAATAAGATACGTATGCACGTATATATATATATATATATATATATATATATATATATATATATATATATATATATATATATATATATATATATATATATATATATAATATATATATCAGTAGTATAGATACTTACTTTCTTTCTATGCGTACTTATATCCTTTATAGTCTTTCTAAGTGCATATAATACTACTTTTTTAAGAGAAGGCAGTTTTTAATAATCTATTGTTAATTCCCCTAATTCTGTGTCCCCTGGTTCTGCTATACAACAATTATATATTTTTTTATCATTACTGATTTTAAAAGTTTCTTTTCAAAGAATTTGACCATATATTTTTTTTTCAGAGTAATTGGGCTGTTCCTGAACAATATTGAATATAAATATTCAAAAATATGATAAACTGCATATCCTACTAAGTAGATCAATACCAAAATTCCATTAGAGAAATAAGTTAAAATTATGTTTTACTTGTATAATTTTCTTGCTATTTGTCCACCATTATTTGTGACTTAGAAATTAAATAGTCAAAAAGAATTTAGTACCAGTTTTTATTTCCCAAAAAAATTAATTGTTAAATAATTACATATTGCTTAAGATACAGTATATTATATTGTGTTTATAGTTGATAATTCTAGTTCTTAGTTGTTTATAGTTGATAATTAACAATATTTCTGATGTTAGATATTATATTAGATAAAAAATTTAATTACCAACAGCTACCTACCTATGTAGCTGCAGATTATTATATTGTGTAGTAGGTACTGTATAATTCTTTAGTTCAAGAAACAAATATCAGTACAAGTATATAACCAAAAAAATGTTGATGCAAATTCTTTGTATAACATACGTACCCCTATGGTATTCAACTTTTCATTGTTCTTTTAATTAGATACACAATAAGCACATTAATTCGTTTATTAAACAACCAAAACTCTAACTACTTAAATTCACAATATAAATATCACAATAAATGTATAAGCTTTGATCAATTCCTATTATTAATACCTGACGACTTCATACTTTATAACTACCAATGGCTATCCTACTAACACACTAGCCAACTAATAATAAATCTGTTCTAAAAAAATACAACATAAAGACATCGTTATTGCAATAATATAGAAATATATTCCATGTATCATTAACTACCTAGGTATAAATACAATACCCACATCTTCTTTTACGCGAATAGTGCGTTAGGAGGCAGAAATATTGCCTGCATTGTACATCGTACAAATTGGCTAGAATTTATTAATATCCATTGCAAACATTTCTCTTTCAAAGGGTCTAAATGTTTTGTCTTTTTACTGTGTCCCTGTAATATGTTATCAATTAACAACAGTTATCAAATATGACCTGGACAATAATAATTGTTTTAACTTTTTTTCAAACTAAACTCTTTAAACAAACTATATAAATAAAATTTATCTCATAACCTAACTTGCTGCTAGAATTTCTTTCTTGTTATTCTATGTTCCTGTATTGTTATTCTTCACATTATCAATTTCTATGAGCAATATCATTACTAAATCAAGGAAATCTATTCCTAATGCCAATTTAAATTCTGTGAAGGCACAACACTTTCTTCAATATTTGTTTACTTCCAAAAAATGTCAAAGCATATAACTTGAAATAATATATCAAGTATATATTTAAATTTTTGACATGCACTCACATTTAGAACATCTGAAATAAGAAATTTTGTAATTCTACACGTCTAAAAAAGATATAATAACATTTTTCTCACTATAGAGCAAAATTTCTTTGCGGCTTCAGAAACAAAACTTGCGGATTTCCATAAATCGAAATACAAAATAAGATATTATTTATTAGTAGACAAATACCAAAATATAGAAGGCCAAACCAAACTCTAGGAAATAACTTTAAAATACATTATTTTTTCAAAAAACGTTTGGATCTATAAATTACAATAATAATCTCATCACATCTGTCAGTGAAATGAGTCAAAAAACATAGGTTACCGTCAATTTATATGTTTTCAATTTCAAATACTCGACGCTCATTGGTCGTGACGAAATCGTCTTCCTCGACAAAATACGGCATATTTTCCTACATAGCCCGCTATAGGGAGATGAATATCCTTCTTCTATATATCCTTGCGCTCATCTCTACTGACAAGCTTTAAACATAAAATTCGGACATAGACATAAAGCAGATGTAGGGCTGCAAAATGTTTTTCATAATAATCATCTTGTGTTTCCTTTTTGTTCTTCAACGGTTGGAGACTTTAACCACTCAGTGATTCGTTACAATATTGTACATTTTTCAATTTCTCAAATTAATCCAATTTTTTAGACTCATCTTTTAAATGAAAATCCGAATGAGTTTCCATTTTCACGCGCTTTCAAACTGGACAGGGATAATTTTAAGGCTCTTCTCTTTTTTTCTATTAGGGTCTGTGGAAGATGGATGGTACAGGATTGAACCGTGGAAAACTGCCACCTGAGAACATTTTAAAAGGACAGTGAGGGATTTTGTATATAGAAGGGAGGTTGGATTTAAAAAAATGTACGCGTATCAATTTAAAGATTCATGATTTTTTACAATAGTCTGTATATTAAATAGGAAATTATATGACACTGGTTTTATAATTAATATACTTTTAGCACTGGCAATGTGATTTATTATTCACACTGACAATTTTATAACTTTTTTATCTGGCTGCCGATGCCGATACCCGTTGCGTATACAGGTGCGTATTCATTAAGGTGCGTATTCATTATCTGAACGAACGAACGAACGAATGAAAGTGCGGTATATTTAGACGGGGACCGAACGCATGCGGCCGTTCGTTCGTTCGTTCGCTCGACCATCCGTTTCGAGTCGGTACATCAAAGGCGTTCGCCAACAAATGCCTCCGGTCTTCTCGTGCGGTCCTATCGTGCGGTCCCCGTCCATACCACTAGCGTACATTCGTTCGTTCGTTCGTTCGTTCGGATAATGAATACGCACCTTTATCCGAACGAACGAACGAACGAACGAACGAACGAACGAATGGAAGTGCGGTATATTTAGACGGGGACCGAACGCATGCGGCCGTTCGTTCGTTCGTTCGCTCGATCATCCGTTTCGAGTCGGTACATCAAAGGCGTTCGCCAACAAATGCCTCCGGTCTTCTCGTGCGGTCCTATCGTGCGGTCCCCGTCCATACCACTAGCGTACATTCGTTCGTTCGTTCGTGCGGATAATGAATACGCACCTTACTACTGCGCATCGGAAGAAGATCCTATATTTTTTATTAATTTAGTCCTATAAATACTAGTATTGAATATAAATCGAACATGTCTCCATAGCGCAGGGCGTAGAGTTTCCGACCACGAACCGAAGATTCAGAGTTCAAATCGGGGTCAGGTCAAAGACTTTTTTATTTTATTTTCGTTTATATTCTGATAGTAAAGTATTAAACAATTCTGGTAATAAAAAAAACAAATATTTAATACTTTACTATCAGAATATAAACGAAAATAAAAATAAAAAAGTCTTTGACCTGACCCGGATTTGAACTCTGAATCTTCGGTTCGTGGTCGGAAACTCTACGCACTGCGCTATGGATGTTCATTTATCATGAACATGTTCGATTTATATTCAATACTAGAATTTAAAGGACTAATAAAAACATAGGATCTTCTTGCGCAGTAAGGAACGCAACGTTTACCGGCAGCCAGACGGACCGCATGCTGAGAGAGAGCATAGTAAAAGATGTATCAAAGAGCCAGACGTCTTAAAATACTTGTTTTTCCGACGTTGCTAGCTCTCGTACTATAAGTCTTCTGGTGATTTCTGGTAGTAGAGATCCCGAGCTATGTATTAACTGTCCCAAATGTCGCAATATTCTTCTACTGTTTCTAAAAAATACTAAATGAATTCATCAATGCCATAAAAACTGTTTTTCTAGAAACGCCAAAAATGACAAGGTTCGCGAATCGATAGCAATGTGCAAAGTGACACTTTTTCATTTTCCTGTTGTTAATATAATAGAAGAAATAATTACAGCTGGGGTTGAACCTTTGGTGTTACACAGCAAAAATAAAACACTAAATCAGTACAATACACCAAAACACTTTTAATTTTACACTGGACCACGTTTCGCTAACCATGTCTGCCATCAGCAGATGATCAAGACTGAGTCTTGAGGTATATTTATTTATATATCTGTACTAACTATATTTTTTTCTATAATACATAATTTTAGATATAACTATTTCCAGCAAAAAAAAATCTTGAAAATAGTTAACTTTGGAAGCGCAAACAAAACATAATTTTACTCATCAGTAGATCTGATATTGCCTATTACACCAGATATGGTATCGCTCCGCCAGCAGTTTTTAAAGGTTAGGTCATTGTCTACCCATATGTTACATCCAAATAGATAATACTTGGCTATATTTTCGAATTTCGCGTATATATATTTATATCTCTCTCTGCAATATAATGGGCCGCTCCATTAATATTTATCTGTTATTTTAACATTTACGCCAAAAAAATTCATTTGATTTTAATAACCCCCTAAGCGTTTCCCTGCAAAAGGAAAATTCGATTCTTCCTGCAATTTTTGCAAAAGCTTTCTAATTGTGGGGACGAGTTTGAATTCGAGATAAAATCTATTTATCAAATTCCTGACCACTTCGAAAAAGTCGTTGAGCTTTTCGACAGCAGTCTCACGTGGTCGTTTCTTTCCAGAGAGGATATCATTTTATCGGGGTTAGTTTTCAGCCTTTTTTTTATCTTCTGTGTGAATTTTTTTATAGCCGATACGCTAACTCCGGTATAAAGAAATATCCGCTCAAGTTTACGTTTAAGCGGCAACTCAAGCGAACTCTCTGTAGCTTCTTCATCGCAAACCCTATTATGAACACAAGGAAATACACCAAATGAGATTTCATCCACGTTATTATTAACTTACCTATATAAATTAGCTATTATTTCTCTTGTCTGACTATGTAGCGTCTTACCCTTAACAAATTTATTCGTTTTAAAACACAAATATACGATCAAACTTGATATTAATAATTAAAAACTACGAACGAAAAACATTATAACAAGATAACAAAACAATAAAACACAACTTAACTATCAAATATACTAAAAATATAGGAATAAAGTTTAGGATAACCGGTATAAAATAATGAAATAAAGTAATAATGATCAAAAAAATGACACCGCCACTGGATATTTCAATAGTATTCAATATTCCTACTCTTTTCAGAAGAGACCGTGAAGTTGGGGATAAAGCAAGCGAATAGGAAAGGCGTAAAAGCCATGGCAACCGCGTGGTAACAAATCCTGGTGACGTACTCGCCAATCATGTTCGATGAATAGGTGGCCATGCGCGGCGATGCCGGTTTGCCAATGATATCGTTGAAAATCTTCAACTTTCATATTAGGCAGATTATACAGAATGAAAGAAATAAGTTATTAAATAAAAACATATCGAACAATATGAACTACGTTAAAATTCCTTAGTAATATACGTCAGAATATATGCTAAACACATTATATATAATAAAAATATATTAAATTTATAGTTCATGTCTGGCAATTTTGCAATTTTATAGATAAACGTGGCAATATCGATTTTTTTTTCTCGCATTCCTTCCGTAGCTACAGATCCGCTGGTCAAACAGTAAAAGATGTATCAAAGAGCCAGACGTCTTAAAATACTTGTTTTTCCGACGTTGCTAGCTCTCGTACTATAAGTCTTCTGGTGATTTCTGGTAGTAGAGATCCCGAGCTATGTATTAACTGTCCCAAATGTCGCAATATTCTTCTACTGTTTCCTAAAAAAATACTAAATGAATTCATCAATGCCATAAAAACTGTTTTTCTAGAAACGCCAAAAAATGACAAGGTTCGCGAATCGATAGCAATGTGCAAAGTGACACTTTTTTCATTTTCCTACGTTACCATACACGGCGCGAAGTAATGCGCGAAATGCCTATTTCGCACACTGCATGTATAGTTCAGTAATATTATGGCTCAAATTGCGATATATCCGACAAAATTCATCAAGTTTTCAAAATTGGTGGAAATAATCAAGACATCATATATATTAATAAACTGAAAAGTTCCCACCCCTAAATAGTGTGCGTCATCCCCCAGGACATCGTTTCTACCCACATTTTTAGTTTTTTTAAATAATCTCGACAACGGTGCAATTCTCGACAAAAATACCTACTTAGAAAATTGTTCTTCATAAAATTCTCTATCAAAAAGATAATTACACTTTTTTTCTAAAGTTAATAATAAAGTGGCAAATAGGGCGCAAATATAAGGGTTGGTTATGACTAGCACTATCTGCAGTTCAAGCCATAATTTAAAGTTTAATGTTTAATGCTAACAAAAAGCAGTAACCACTAAATTACACTTAGAATTTTAATATACGTTTTTCTCTCACACTCCTCTACCCCTATAAAATGGGTGATTTGTACTTATTTCCACATCACCCTAGAGGTAAAGTATTTGATGCGTTTTTTTTTAAGTGGTATCCCCTGTAGCATAATCCATTAATTATCAAATGTTAAAGATGGGATTTTATTTAAAAGTTTAAAAGTGCGTCGTGCAAATCGTGAAAAGCCGATATCTAGTTTGAGCA